GGGGGGGCTGTTTCATAGTGGCTGTGAGCTATAAGTGAGAGGTAATTGTTAACTATACCTCATGTAGTTACGGGCTCGCCATAGCCCGTGCTACATCGACATGTTGTTCCCAGCAGCTGAATCTAAATCTACTTCTGAATAGAATGAAGATAGACAGCTGAATAGAATCTACTTCTATTTCTACTTCTATTTCTACTTCTACTTCTACTACTATTTCCTGATTATTTAAGTAAATATTTTGAGAGCATTTCTCTGCACTCTTTCTAATTATCTGATATTTCTACAGGTAAGGGCACTGCACCACTGCTGCATACTTCAACTGTGGTCTGACGAATGTTGTGAGTATACTTCCTTTAGTATTTAAACAGTTACTCCCAGATTGTGACCCATCAAACATTTAATAAATGTCCGAAACCTCTATATCTTTCCTAAATCATGGGTACTTAAGTTTCTAATTTTTACCCAGTTTATGAGTTTCACACTAAGTCACCCGAGGTTATTAGACTACATTATAAACATCAACAAGCTGCAGTGATTGAGAAAAGATGTATAGGTTTCGTATATGGACGTGTAAATGCCTGTTGAATCCTAACGCTCATCATTTTCAGGTCCATCTTAACATTTGTTCGGGTTAAACTCAAATAGCCACGTGTTGGGCCAAGCCTTGAGATTGTTCAGGACATCTTGAAGCCTCATGCTGGCCTCTATAACAATCTTTTCTATAATTAGAGCAGCAGCAGCAAATAATGATAGGAATGTGTCTATACCCTCTGGAAGATCATTTACGTATATCAGAAATGTTGTGTGTGTTTGCGTGTGCCCAAGGCAGTGGGCGTGTGTGTGTGTGTGTGTGTGTGTGTGTGTGTGTGTGTGTGTGTGTGTGTGTGTGTGTGCGTGCGTGCGTGAGAGAGCGTGTTTGTACAAATGAATGAGATGGTTTCTGCGATGCTGAGTCTTGGAGATGTGTCAAGATTTGGGCAGGACAAAGTTGAAAAGGCACCGCCAGACTGACACGAGAGAGAGAGAGGGGGGGGGGGGGGATGGAGAGGGAGAGAGAGAGAGAGAGAGAGAGAGAGAGAGAGAGAGAGAGAGAGAGAGAGAGAGAGGGGATGGAGAGTGGGAGGGACAGAGATAAAGAGAGATTCATTCATTCATTCATTCATTCATTCATTCATTCATTCATTCATTCATTCATTCATTCATTCCCAGGGCCAGAACACGTTACTCGTTAATAGTAACTAATGTTTATATTTGCCTCAGTTATATAAATTTACGTTATATACGTTATAATTTTAATTTACGTTATAATTTACGTTGTGGTGGGTATGTGGGCCTGCGGGCCGCTCCAAGCAACAGCCTGGTGGACCAAACTCTCACAAGTCGAGCCTGGCCTCGGGCCGGGCTTGGGGAGTAGACGAACTCCCAGAACCCCATCAACCAGGTATACACAACCACCCACACCAGCATCTATATACACCGAGTGGCTATATACCCGTGGCACTATATACATTTGAGGATTTACTTCAGTCCTGTGTTTCTGTACCGCAGTTGGCTCACAGTCGAATGGCCCAGGGTTCGACTCCCGCGCAGGACGGATATGTTTGAGTGTCTACGTGTTTGGTTCATGGGCATTTTACTAGTTTCTTAAGGTCATATATTATTTAGCCTGATTCTGCGAGTATTGGTGGATCCTAAATCCATTCTGAAGGTGGTAGTGGATCCCATATCCATTCTGTAGGTGGTAGTGGATCCCATATCCATTCTGTAGGTGGTAGTGGATCCCATATCCATTCTGTAGGTGGTAGTGGATCCCATATCCATTCTGTAGGTGGTAGTGGATCCCATATCCATTCTGTAGGTGGCAGTGGATCCCATATCCATTCTGTAGGTGGTAGTGGATCCCATATCCATTCTGTAGATGGTAGTGGATCCCATATCCATTCTGTAGGTGGTAGTGGATCCCATATCCATTCTGTAGGTGGTAGTGGATCCCATATCCATTCTGTAGGTGGTAGTGGATCCCATATCCATTCTGTAGGTGGTAGTGGATCCCATATCCATTCTGTAGGTGGTAGTGGATCCCATATCCATTCTGTAGGTGGTAGTGGATCCCATATCCATTCTGTAGGTGGTAGTGGATCCCATATCCATTCTGTAGGTGGTAGTGGATCCCATATCCATTCTGTAGGTGGTAGTGGATCCCATATCCATTCTGTAGGTGGTAGTGGATCCCATATCCATTCTGTTGGTGGCAGTGGACCCCATACCTGTCCTGTAAAGGGTTGGTGAAAGAAACTCTACCCATTTGTTTCCGCCTCCACCGGGAATTGAACCCGGAAGCGTAGAAGACTACGAACCCCGAGCACCGTCCATTCAGCCGTCAGACCCCTAGGCTGGACCAGCTCCCACGACCTCCAATACGACCTTGCACCAGGAGTATAATATCGCCCTTATGTCACCAGGCAGAAGCCTCATAATTGGTTGTTGAGACGGGCTGGAGATAACAGCCTATTACCCATAATTCACGGGAAGGTGAGGAGGTGTTCTCACCTATCTGTGACTACGGTGAAGGGAAGGGAACTATCAGAGGGGAAAGCGCCAAGCCATTACGACTATATAGCACTGGGAAGAGGTCAGGATAAGGATTTGGGATGGGACGGGGGGAAAAGGAATGGTGCCCAATCATTTGGATGGTCGGGGATTGAACGCCGACCTGCATGAAGCGCCAAAGGCGGGACCAAAGAGCCAGAGCTCAACCCCCGCAAGCACAAATAGGTACCGTATGTTCGGTCAATTCAATACACCGAACTAGAGGTGCATAGATGTAACCATTTAAAACAAAAAATACTCTGCCCCTTTGTTTCAGTCTCGACCGGGAATCGAACCCGGGTTCATGGATTGTTGGCGTAACAACCCTTGGAGTAGCCTGGGTGGCCGGAAGTGACATTCACAGCTTTGTTTAATTACTTTAAATGCCACCGACATCTATTATAAACTCATTAAAACCCTGTCAATAATTTATTAAATTGAGCTCTGTCAACGAGAGGTTAATTAAGGATTTAAAATGAACGAATATTAATTGTAATGGTTAATTATATCAATTAATATTAATAGTGTATAGTGATCAGATCATAATAGACATGTAATATTACGTGAGAATAATTATGTATGCCATTAGTGAACATAGTATTCTTAGTATGGAAGTATTCAGTATTCTTAGTATGGAAGTATTCAGTATTCTTAGTAGTTAGTATTCAAACTTAGAGATAGTTAGATATTTGAACTTTATGTTAATCGACGTAGTTTATCATTGGCTATTTCTTTTGCCACGAGAACCAGACTTTGCTTCATACTGCAGATGAATGGTTAAGTATTGCAACAATTACATCCTGCGGGGTCACCATAGCCCGTGCTACTTGGAACTTTGTTCCAGGTAGCGAATCTTTAACAATCTTGAGGTTATCTTGAGATGATTTCGGGGCTCTTTAGTGTCCCCGCGGCCCGGTCCTCGACCAGGCCTCCACCCCCCAGGAAGCAGCCCGTGACAGCTGACTAACACCCAGGTACCTATTTTACTGCTAGGTAACAGGGGCATAGGGTGAAAGAAACTCTGCCCATTGTTTCTCGCCGGCGCCTGGGATCGAACCCAGGACCACAGGATCACAAGTCCAGCGTGCTGTCCGCTCGGCCGACTGGCTTCCTCCTAAAATGCCTAATGCATACTGTGATCCTATGTACATTCAACGCTACTGTGGCGCCTGGTATGAAAGTTCACTATAATTTGGACATTATATAGAGCCTTGGTAGAGTCGTTTGGGCAGTATAGAGTCCTGTTAAGGATGAACTGTTTCAGGCAAGAGTATTTAACACTCTAAGTTTGGATGTGCTGATAATAAATTTAAAATTTTAAAGTAATTTACAATTTCGTTGTAAAGTAATTTACAATTTCGTTGTAAAGTAATTTACAATTTCGTTGTAAAGTAATTTACAATTTCGTTGTAAAGTAATTTACAATTTCGTTGTAAAGTAATTTACAATTTCGTTGTAAAGTAATTTACAATTTCGTTGTAAAGTAATTTACAATTTCGTTGTAAAGTAATTTACAATTTCGTTGTAAAGTAATTTACAATTTCGTTGTAAAGTAATTTACAATTTCGTTGTAAAGTAGTTAGTGTTGAACTTCCTATGATTTATGAAAGATCTCCGACTTGTGAGGCTAAAATTAAAGTTTATTGTGCACCCCATACTCATCCTGTGAGTGGTAGTTTATTGTGCACCCCATACTCATCCTGTGAGTGGTAGTTTATTGTGCACCCCATACTCATCCTGTGAGTGGTAGTTTATTGTGCACCCCATACTCATCCTGTGAGTGGTAGTTTATTGTGCACCCCATACTCATCCTGTGAGTGGTAGTTTATTGTGCACCCCAAACTCATCCTGTGAGTGGTAGTTTATTGTGCACCCCATACTCATCCTGTGAACAATAGTTTATTGTGCACCCTATACTCATCCTGTGAGTGGTAGTTTATTGTGCACCCCATACTCATCCTGTGAACAATAGCTTATTGTGCACCCCATACTCATCCTGTGAGCAATAGCTTATTGTGCACCCCATAATATATTAACAATATCACCTATATTTCACGCCTTATAATTACAATGTCAGCTAGTTACAAAGATTGTTCCACTTCAATAGCTATGTATTTACAACTAAACATTATACATTAATAGTAGGTCTTTTCTCTAATACATTGTTTTAGCTACAGCTGTTGTTGTTAAAGATTCGCTACCTGGAACTAAAAGTTCCAAGTAGCACGGGCTATGGTGAGCCCGTGGTGCCTTTTTTTTAGCTACAGCTGTATTATAGGGTAATAGGGAACTCTGCTGTTTTATAACTGCCAGTCTACACTCTATGCTGCTTGTTCCCTAATCTCATATGTCGTTTATCTACTGGAAGTGAACGTGGATACAGTGTAACGACTTCACATATTTTTAATAAGCTATTGAGGTGGTCTTAATAACCCTTCAGAGGTTGATAGGTCCCTCATCTCTGCACCAAATACTGTAGGATTAGGCACTGTAGGATTAGGCACTGTAATATCAGGTACTGTAGGATTAGGCACTGTAGGATCAGGCACTGTAGGATTAGGCACTGTAGGATTAGGCACTGTAGGATTAGGCACTGTAATATTAGGCACTGTAGGATTAGGCACTGTATGATCAGGCACTGTAGGATTAGGCACTGTAGGATTAGGCACTGTAGGATCAGGCACTGTAGGATTAGGCACTGTAGGATTAGGCACGGTAGGATCCGGCAATGTAGGATTAGGCACGGTAGGATCCGGCAATGTAGGATTAGGCACTGTAGGATCAGGCACAGTAGGATCAGGCACTGTAATATTAGGCACTGTAGGATTAAGCACTGTTGTAGCATTAACCCTAACAAACACATTTCACTAATACTAACCCGGCCTGCTACTAGACCGACGCATTTTGACGTACACTCTGCCAAAAAATTGCCGTACTAGAAAATAGTGGCGGCTCGCGAAATCGACACATAGTCTCGTTTTCTGTTTTAAGTCCTCAGGTGGCTTAGGATACGGGCACTTTAATACGACCGTTTCTGGACGTTGGGGAAACCTTATGAGGACGTTCTGGCAATGCAACGAACACGTATTTTAACAACACTGAGTGTTGCAAGCAGCAGTATAACAGCATCATGATATAGAAACACAAGATGAGGCTCTTCAGCCAACATATGTTGGGTAGATATGACACAGCTTTTACAGCGGGTTAATTACATATTTTTATGGATGTGTAAGCTATGTGTAGGGGCCTGACGGCTGAGTGGACAGCGCTCGGGGTTCGTAGTTATGAGGTTACGGGTTCGATCCCCGGCGGAAATAAATTGGCAGTTTCTTTCACCCTGATGCCCCCCTGTTCACCTAGTGGTAAATAGGTACCTGGGAGTTAGTCAGCTGTCACGGGCTGCTTCTTGGGGGTGGAGGCATGGTCGAGGACCGGGCCGCGGGGACGCTAATAAGCCCCGAGATCATCTCAAGATAACCTCAAGATAAGCTGGCTGAAATTGCATTTCAGCTTTGTAAACACACATTAATCACATTCTGTGGTTGAGTATTTAATAACTAAACTATGCCACATGTATCTACATGTTTATGTAGGGCTGACGTAACTATATGTATTGTATATGTACTTGTTAGCTGTTGTTGTTGTTGTTAAAGATTTGCAACCCAGAACCAAAAGTTCCAAGTAGCACGGGCTATGGTGAGCCCGTAGTGCTAGTTAGCATTGTGAGAGCACTTGGATCACCTTCGGTGGTTGAGAACTTGTCATGTGATCACACTGCTGTGGTACGCCTTCTCTCACACTGTTCACGGAGAACGGAAGAACATATATGTGTGTGTGGGTTACCATTGTAAATATATAGCCTCTTCTGACTCAGAAAGTTGAAAAAAAAATTATAGAAAGTTGTATATTATTGTATATTGTATATATTGTTGTATAGTTGTATAGTTGTATATTGTATATAGTAAGTAGTTAGTGCTAAGAGGTGAATTTTACCTGGTTGATGGGGTTCTGGGAGTTCTTCTACTCCCCAAGCCCAGCCCGAGGCCAGGCTTGACTTGTGAGAGTTTGGTCCACCAGGCTGTTGCTTGGAGCGGCCCACAGGCCCACATATACCTGCTTGATGGGGTTCTGGGAGTTCTTCTACTCCCCAAGCCCGGCCCGAGGCCAGGCTTGACTTGTGAGAGTTTGGTCTACCAGGCTGTTGCTTGGAGCGGCCCGCAGGCCCACATATACCTGGTTGATGGGGTTCTGGGAGTTCTTCTACTCCCCAAGCCCAGCCCGAGGCCAGGCTTGACTTGTGAGAGTTTGGTCCACCAGGCTGTTGCTTGGAGCGGCCCGCAGGCCCACATATACCTGGTTGATGGGGTTCTGGGAGTTCTTCTACTCCCCAAGCCCAGCCCGAGGCCAGGCTTGACTTGTGAGAGTTTGGTCCACTAGGCTGTTGCTTGGAGCGGCCCGCAGGCCCACATATACCTGGTTGATGGGGTTCTGGGAGTTCTTCTACTCCCTAAGCCCGGCTCGAGGCCAGGCTTGACTTGTGAGAGTTTGGTCCACTAGGCTGTTGCTTGGAGCGGCCCGCAGGCCCACATATACCTGGTTGATGGGGTTCTGGGAGTTCTTCTACTCCCCAAGCCCGGCCCGAGGCCAGGCTTGACTTGTGAGAGTTTGGTCCACCAGGCTGTTGCTTGGAGCGGCCCGCAGGCCCACATACCCACCACAGCCCGGTTGGTCCGGCACTCCTTGGAGGAAATAATCTAGTTTTCTCTTGCAATCTTTAATGATTGCTCCTGCAAAGAAAACGAAATATGCAAATGACGTACAATTCAGACTTAGAATGAATTATTCACAATCAGAGGTCTGGTCATGGCCAGACCCAGGCTAACCTCTTCTTGATGAATTAACTAGACTAAATATCGGACCCTGATGAATGAACTAGGCTAAATATCGCGCTCTAGCCCCTCCAGGTAGAAACGATTAAATTACTCTGGCAAGATACAAGTTCCAAGGAAAAGGTTCCAAGGAAAAGGTCCCAAGGTAAAGGTCCCAAGGTAAAGGTCCCAAGGAAAAGGTCCCAAGGTAAAGGTCCCAAGGAAAAGGTCCCAAGGTAAAGGTCCCAAGGTAAAGGTCCCAAGGTAAAGGTCCCAAGGAAAAGGTCCCAAGGAAAAGGTCCCAAGGTAAAGGTCCCAAGGTAAAGGTCCCAAGGAAAAGGTCCCAAGGAAAAGGTCCCAAGGTAAAGGTCCCAAGGTAAAGGTCCCAAGGAAAAGGTCCCAAGGTAAAGGTCCCAAGGTAAAGGTCCCAAGGTAAAGGTCCCAAGGAAAACCTACTGACCTAAGCATTGTGAGGAATGGAAACGAAAAGGCTCCATCAACATTCCTGAAACCAACATACGACTTACAGATACTCATCCCACTCCCTAAGTCATTAAATGATGAGAAGATAGTTCAAAGTCAGGATGATGACGTGTGTGGCACATGGGATACGAGGATAGGATAGGAGCTAGGATATAGAGATGGAGTGATGGAACGATACCTTCCAATCACTTGGGGCCATCGGGGAATCGATCGCCGACCTGCAAGAGGCGAGACCGACGCTCTACCGACCAGTTCAAGTACCCTGGTATCAAAATGAGACTGTACTCAGTACTAAATCTGTACTCGATCTAGTAGTGCTTGCTGGACGGTTGAGCTTCGGCTCTAGGGCCCCGTGTCCGTGTGTTGACATATATCCTGTGGAGATGTAAAAAGTATCCTGCGGATCTGTTTCTGACAGGTCAGACATCTGGAGACTTGCACTGCTGCATCCACAGTCTTGGGCGACTCCTGCCTCTTCTCAGTGTGCCTCCTGCTCCACTGCTGGGTGAAGAGAGGCATCAGGTGAAGGAAGGGAAGGGACGTTGATCAAATGATTCTCTCTCACACACTCTCTCTCTCTTTCTCTCTCTCTCTCTCTCTCTCTCTCTCTCTCTCTCTCTCTCTCTCTCTCTCTCTCTCTCTCTCTCTCTCTCTCTCTCTCTCTCTCTCTTCTCTCTCTCTCTCTCTCCCTCTCTCTCCCTCTCTCTCTCTCTCTCTCTCTCTCTCTCTCTCTCTCTCTCTCTCTCTCTCTCTCTCTCTCTCTCTCTCTCTCTCTCTCTCTCTCTCCATCCCACACACACATTTGTTCTCTGCCACAAGAAAGTTAACCCCTTAGTTGAAACTCTATAAGATAAGCTTAAATTGCTCCCATCTCCTGAGATGGTGACGAGGCCCGCTCTATTGAGCTCTATTGAGCTCTATTGCAAGACGTTGCTACTGCAATGTAGAGGGAGGGGGGGGGTGCAAGAGAGACTCAGGTGAATAGGAAAGAAGGGAATAGGGAAATAGATCATAGTGCAAATGAGGTGAATTGGGGAAAATAGGAGAGAGAGAGCAATATAGGAACCCAATTCAACCTTCTATTAAAAGCAGCGGCTCACAGATATCCACGTTTTCTGTGCATCAGGTCGATAGGGTAAGTGGGTTGGTTGGGTTGGTTGAATATATTTTTTACATCTGTTCTCTGCCGCAGATGTGTCCATTTATTTACATGTATTTACCTTGTATATGTACATTGTTTTCTGTCCTCCGTGGGCAGGATAGATCTGTTAAACGTCTGTTCTACATATACAGTGTTCTAGGTATGTTCTTTTATGTATAATGTGTTCACATAGGTGAAATGTTATTCTGACCGGGTTGGTGAATGGCTTTTCCATCCTGTGAGCGGTGGTGGACCCCATACCCATCCTGTGAGTGGTGGTGGACCCCATATCTATCCTGTGAGTGGTGGTGGACCCCATACCCAACCTGTGAGTGGTGGTGGACCCCATACCTATCCTGTGAGTGGTGGTGGACCCCATACCCATCCTGTGAGTGGTGGTGGACCCCATATCTATCCTGTGAGCGGTGGTGGACCCCATACCCATCCTGTGAGGGGTGGTGGACCCCATACCCATCCTGTGAGGGGTGGTGGACCCCATACCCATCATGTGAGCAGTAGTGGACCCCATGCCCATCCTGTGAGCGATAGTGGACCCCATACCCATCCTGTGAGTGGTGGTGGACCCCATACCCATCCTGTGAGCGATGGTGGACCCCATACCTCTCCTGTGAGTGGTGGTGGACCCCATACCTATCCTGTGAGCGATAGTGGACCCCATACCTATCCTGTGAGCGATAGTAGACCCCATACCCATCCTGTGGGCGGTAATGGACCCCATACCCATCCTGTGAGGGGTGGTGGACCCCATACCTATCCTGTGAGCGATAGTGAACCCCATACCTATCCTGTGAGCGATAGTGGACCCCATACCTATCCTGTGAGCGATAGTGGACCCCATACCCATCTTGTGAGCGATAGTGGACCCCATACCTATCCTGTGAGCGATAGTGGACCCCATACCCATCCTGTGGGCGGTAATGGACCCCATACCCATCCTGTGAGGGGTGGTGGACCCCATACCTATCCTGTGAGCGATAGTGAACGCCATACCTATCCTGTGAGCGATAGTGGACCCCATACCTATCCTGTGAGCGATAGTGGACCCCATACCCATCCTGTGAGGGGTGGTGGACCCCATACCTATCCTGTGAGCGATAGTGAACGCCATACCTATCCTGTGAGCGATAGTGGACCCCATACCCATCCTGTGAGCCGTTGCTGTGAAGGGCAGAGGGGCATAATATGTTCAGGAACTTGACCCCAAAACTAATTTAGATTAGCAAGTTAGTCTGGTTGATCAGTCCAGCAACCAGGAGGCCTGGTCGACGACCGGGCCGCGGGGACACTAAGCCCCGGAAGCACCTC